GGTTGCACTAGCAAGAATGAGGATACAAATAGCAAACCCTAGAAGGGTTGTACTCGCTGTAGAGCACCCCACTACAGGCTAGAGCATAATATTCTGACATGAAACATGTTTTATTCTCTCTCTTTTCTTGCAGTACTATGTTTTTCATGTGTTTCCTCTCTCTCTCGTTTTTTTTTTTGTTGGGAGCTCTGCATTTTATGCTTGATCCAGACCGTTACTCGAAATTTCATTTTTTTTTTTTTAAGAAGCAGGTGTAACAACATTCTTAACTTTGGAATTTCTATGAAGGATTGAACCTGTTAAAAAAACCGGATGGTTATTTAAACATTCCCGGCCCGAAGGCTTCACCTCTGCGCCTTGATTCATAACGAATCAGCCCTTGTCCAAGTATCGCGTTAGCCCATATAGAGTTGCGACGAAGGTCGAAAGTTAGGAAAGTCAACAGTTACGATTGTTGACAACATCGCAATTGTCATCTGAGGTTATGCACTGCAATATGGTAATTGCAAAACAGTTAATAAGTTAATGCACCCCTCAGAGTACATGGCTAGCTAGGGCAGAATGCGGAGATAACACTAGCAACGGGAGCTTCTACGGGTTAGGCACGAGGTAGGAGTGATCTCTGCATTCATTCTTTAGTCGTTAACTTGTGCTCACACTACTTGCACATTCACGGGGAAATCCGGCTAGAGTTTCACTAGCAAGAGTTCATAGGACAAAAGTTCAGAATGATCACAACAACGTTGGCAAGACTGACGAAATCAGAGTTAGCATGCAAGTCGGTCGACTGCCAGCGCAGCACGCTCGACTGCGGTCCAGCGCGACATGGTCGACCGCACTCCAGCAATGCAAAGTCGCGGCCCGCCAACGCTGCAAGTTGACGGCGTGCCAACATCGCAAGTCGACGGCGTGCCAATGTCGCACCCGCAGGATAGTAGCGCACCAGCCTCGCAGGTGCTCGTCGATGATTGGAGTGCTCTGCCTCGTCACCTGCACAGCGCACACACCAAATCGTCCTCGTGCTGACGACTACACCTGATCAGCCACGTCGACCTTGGGATACCACCACCGAGGTCATTCTCGCCAAAACCACCTGGGCGACCATCGCTCTCCTCCGCAGAACCTCGTCATTCGGGTAACCTGGTCGACCTGGAAACCACCAGGTCGGCGTTGCCTTCCACGGGGAAAGACAACCAAAAGTTGTACTCAGTCGATGACCACCAGCCGACTTCACCAAGTCGGCCACTCCCCAGGTCGGCGTCACCAAGTCGACGCCTTCCACAGGTCGTTCTCCCAAGTCGACCTCCTGAAGTCGGCGCCCTCTTGAAGTCGATGCCCTTGTAGTGGCCCCCGTGCACGTCGACCAGCCCCATTGACCAGCCCCGTCGACTGCTGCAGGTGCACCTCCCGCACACCCGACCACGAGGTCGGCTCCACCCAAGCTAGATCGGGGCATACCACAACTCCCGTTAACATAAAATCTACATAACGGTGTGTTTTTGCTGCCCCTTATCAGGCTCACGTTGAAATGCACTAAAACACTCGAAGAAAAAATCATTGTACTAGGCAAATCTGATGAGAGGTTTGTCTGATAAGAGGCATAGGAACACATCCTAAGTTGTTTGTAATCCTCTGTTTATCATCTTATCTTTACATTTTCTATAACAATGTCACTTTAAGGCTTCCTCTGTCTTAACTCTTTCTTGGCAAATTATTCCCTCCACTAAAAGATCCTTCAGTTATATCAACATGGTATGAGAGCAAGAGTGGGTCATAAGTTCTGCCAACTCGTTTTTCATGGAACTATCGTAGATCAAAATCTTATTACAAGCTTGACATCTTGCCTTTTATAGGAAAAAACACCGCAGACTCCGCAGCACCACCAATAACGAGTATGTCTTCAACTATCACATCCGCTGACGCCAACGTCGTTGAGCAACTTATCGCGCACATCAGCACCATTGAAATTATCAAACGATGAACATCGACGGCTCAAGCTACGCGAGAGGAGTCCCTGGCAGGGCTGACAAAGCAAGAGCATTTGCCCTTAATGCCCTGAACATTCCGGGTTATGTTCAAAGCACCTCGACCATTTAAAGTCTTTTGTTCACATGGAGCCCATGACGGTTAAGGGCTCCATTTGGGTCTTTCCCTGAGTTCAAGTATTAGCTTTGATATGAAGGACCCCCCCACCCCTTGTCCCCCACCCCGAACCCCTTCATCATATTCACGCATGCCAAGTGTGGCGTGAGAGTAGTGACAAACAAACTCTTTTTCCCTTAGCAGACGAGTGTACGCTCGATCACATTAGGCTAACACATGAACTTAGCTATTTTCGCTAGCCTCAAGGACACTCTCTTCCAGGGCCCAGATTTCAAGTTCTGGTTTTGGCCTACGCTAATGAAAATACGGGCAAGATTTGGAGCAGCCGAGGGCTCAAAGTTCTGGCCCAAAACACTTTGACAGGCCTGAAACTCCCAGGTCTCCCTCTATACAGAGA